TTTTTTTTTTTTTTGAGACAGAGTCTTGCTCTGTCGCCCAGGCTGGGTGCAGTGGCCGGATCTCAGCTCACTGCAAGCTCCGTCTCCCGGGTTTACGCTATTCTCCTGCCTCAGCCTCCTGAGTAGCCAGGACTACAGGCGCCTGCCACCTTGCCCAGCTAGTTTGTTGTTGTTGTTGTTGTTGTTTTGTATTTTTTAGTAGAGACAGAGTTTCACCATGTTAGCCAGGATGGTCTCGATCTCCTGACCTCATGATCCGCCCGTCTCGGCCTCCAAAGTGCTGGGATTACAGGCTTGAGCCACCGCGCCCGGCTGTGGGGAGAAATCTTAAACAACATCAGGTGCAAAGGCATCAAGTCCCAGTAAAATCTTTAATGTTATGGGCTTTAATTAGAGCAGCCCTGGCTCAGTTACACACAGAAGAGCCTAAAAAGAGGAAGGAGGAGAAAATGTCACCTGCCTTATCACCTCCTCTTCCCCCAACCCCAATATCACCAGGCCAAAATAACAGGAAACAGAGGTCTTACCTAAGCCTCCTCCTCCAATAGATAGGAGAAAGGGCAGAGGATATGCCACAGCCATCAGTCTGTTAGATATGAGTTCTAAATTTCTCTTCAAAGAATCAGTGTCAGTATGTTCAATTCTTTGCCTTCTACTTTTACTTAACTTCCTTGTAAAGCAACCTTCTTCAATTACCTGTTCCACCCTGACTCATTCCTATTACCTGCTCCACCCTGACTCATTCCAATTTCCTGCTCTACCATAACCATTTTTCCCGCCAAACCACTCACTGCCATCACTCTCTTTAAATTAGCCAACTGGAGTAAATTTAGCCTGTGTGGTCTAACCCTAGCCAATAGGGGAATGACACAGCAGCAGGGGCCATGTGCATCAGGGATAAGACCCCCTTCCCCTACCTTGTCTGAGTGTACGCTCACCATTGCTCCATCTGTAAGGGTGCACCCTTCTATAGAAGTACATTGACTTGCTGAGAATTAAAAAGAAAATGTTATATTCTAGTGCTATTTCTTTTGCGGCACCGAAATTTTACTTATAACAATTTGGGGGCTTGCCTGTAATTACATTCCCCTCCAGGGGCGGTCTCAGCTCCTCTCTCATGAGGAGGCGCACCCCACCCCTTTGTGGTGGCCTCAAGGGTGAGAAATTAGGACCCACCCAGTGCAAGGAATAACCAGAGCTCTCAGCAACGTGGAAAGAAACTGGCCAGCAACCTAGCTTAAAGGATCCTCCATAAGGGCCATGCAAGTCTGTGCACGGACCAAGGAAAAGATACTATGGGAACCAGTAAAGTATTTCCTTGGTGGTCGGGGCCAAGGTAAGAAAGCCATGGGAGGGGTCGGAGCGTGGGCGATGAAGTACTCCTTGGTCAGGGAGGCATAGAGGTTAAAAAGAGGCAAGACATCCCCATGGAGGGGGGGGGTTGAACCTCACACAAACCCCAGTAGTAGAAAAGGCAAGAAATTTCCAGTGGGGGAAATTGAGCCTCACCCCAAAAGGCAAGAAATTTCCAGTGGGGAAATTGAGCCTCACCTTATAAGGCAAGAAATTTCCAGTGGGGGAAACTGAGCCTCACTCCAAAAGGCAAGAAGTTTCCAGTAAGGGAAGTTGAACCTTGAACCTTAACCCAAAACCATCAAGATGGGAAATACCCCAAGCAAGACAGGGAGCAAGAGAAATAAAGATGGTAACAAAGATATCCCCCTGGATAGCCCCGTAGGTCTCATGGTAAAATACTGGAAGGATAATGAAAGGACTAAACATAAGACAAAGCAACAAATGATAAAAATATTGCTGTTTTATTTGGACTCAGGGACCCACCCTCAAATCCTTGATCTTCTGGCCAAAGTTTGGGTCAAATGAGGATGTA